ACTTTTCAATGAACACATCAGCAAATGAGCAAGTGGCGCTGCACAATTTATTGGCACTGACGACGTCCAATGGCGTCCAATTAAGACAGGATGCTCGAAGCGCCAACCCGCCAGGCAGCCAAGCAGCCAAGCAGCCAGGCGGCCAGCCAGCCACCAGCGACGTTTCTGCTTAGCTTGAAAGATGCCGCCCAGACTCAGCTTCAAGCTGTGCTCCGAGTGCAATGAAGTCGTAAACTCTGATTTATTTCGAATTGTTTGTCAATACAGAGAGAGAGAGAGAGAGAGAGAGAGAGCGCGCGTTGGGGAGAGAGATAGAGAGAGAGAGAGAGAGGCTGGCAACAGCAGCTCCATTGTCGCTTCCTTTGGCAGCCTGGCATGTGTTTCGCTCAGCTAATGCTGCACCACAGGCGGTCCCATAGCCCGCTGTAGCCTGACCCAATTTGGCGCCTGCTGCGGCGCTTTCATCAGCGACTCCTCGTACATCATAAACAGATTCATAAAAAAGTTCTCCCTACAGCTTCACAGCCAAGAGGAGATGCATGCATAAAATTTATGGCGTTGAAAGGCGCATCGAATGGATTTTTAGTTTTCTTCTGTTAGTTCTTCTGTGTGTTCAGCTGGTTGTTAGCCTCTTGTTGTTGTCGCTGTTGCTGTGAGGTCAGCCTGTAGTGTTTTTTTGCCTTTTGCTTTTGCTACTAGAGCGCACTCATTAAAATGTAATTTAAGCGCGTTGTTTCGCATTTCATTTGGTCAAGTGAGCAGGCCAGCAGGCAACAACAACAACAACAACAACAACCACCACAACAACAACGTCGTCGTCGTCAGTTTCCATTTCACTTCATTGAGCTTGCATCAACCCCCAAAATATAATAAAGTGAGACATGCTGCTACTCGCTCTAGCTGCTGTGAATTTGATTGATTTATAGACGCTAGCCATCTCGCTCTGCTGCCTGCGTGCCCTTAGCTCCTTTCTGTGAGTGTGCTTGTGTGTGTGTGTGTGTGTGTGTCCCTCTCGTCATTTGTGGCACATTATTATTTAAATGATAAATTGTATTGCCCGTCAACTTTGGCTTTAAGAGAGTGAGCGCAGCGAGGGACGGAGCGAGAGGGCAAGTGGGGTCGCTCATTGCTTTTCATTTGCTTTTATTGCCCGCCTTTCGTAGGTGTTTCCGTGTTGCTTGGGTTTTTTCTTCTGCTTCTTCTAGTTTTTTTTTTCTTTCTGTTCTTTTGGTACGCCTTCGCCGTGACCTCTTCTCAATATTGTGAAGAACCCTTGACGTTTTGCGCTTTCTAGCTGCCCCTTTTCCTGCTCGTCTTGTGGGCGTTTTGCTGTGCATTTCAAATTTTCCGTTGATTTTGGGGTCGTTTGTGCTGCTTCTTCTTGCTCCTTAGCTTACCTTCTTCTTGGTCTAGGCCCAACAAAATTAATCGTCTCATTTGTCCAACATTGCATTGCACTGACGGCGCTTCGCTTTCATTTCTGGCCACTAATGTTATTTGGTAATAAAATCGATTAGGCTTCCGTATTCGAATGCTACGTTTATTTAGTGGGTGATTTGTTTTTTGTTGTTGCTGTTATTTTTTCCTGATTTAGTTACTGGGGCGGCCACATAAAGTGAGACATCAATGTGAAAAGTGCAGAGCTTGTTTAGCTATTGACTTGCTTAATTGATTAAGTAGACCTGAAGGCGGAGCTTATAATTAGACTCTCTTTTTGTATAGCAAAAAATAAAGTTTGGCTTTATCGTATTTATTTAATTTATGTGTTGTGAATTCTTAAATATAATTTGTATATATTATTAAAATAAAATTCATTTTTTAGTGTGCTACAATTTATTAGTTCAATAAGAGCTCATATTGTTTTTAGAATTGCTATAAATATTGCAAATACTTTCAAATATATCTCATATAATTTTAATTTATATAATATATAATTTATATATATAATTTTAATTTATATATATAATATATATATAATATATAATATACAATTTTAATTTATATATTTAGCTCTATTTATAAATAAATAATAATTCCCGATTTGCCGCGAGGCAATAGAGAATGTCTTAGTATAAAATTGATTGTTTATTCCTGTATATAGTTAATTAAGGCTTTAAGGCATATTCCTTTCTCTTTTAATCCTTAAATTAAAATCAACTTCCTATAAAGTCACTCGCACATGCCCAACTCAACTCAATTAGTATGTCTGCACTTAGTAATTTGTCTTGTTTTGCTCGACTTTTCTCAGCTATTAAGCTGATCGAGTTATTAATTATCTCATAGCAGCTACTAATAAAACATTAAAGATTCGATATAAACTTTTAGACAAGTTAATTTAATGGCCATTTGTTATAAAATTGACTTGCAAAAGCGTTGATTTGACATATTTGCACTGCACGTGTTTGCAATACGATTTATGTGCAATTATTTGGAAGCGACTGCTCACAAACACACACACACACAATTTCACACACACAAACACACACACGGAGGTAGCTTTGTAGTGGGAAAGTAAACAGTGGCTAGAGCCAATCATAATTTGCATTAATAAATATTTTATTAACTAATTGCAACAATTACGTGCATTTTACTTTACTGCCCTCAAATTAGTGCAGTCCGAAGCCGTTTGTGTTAGGGATTACAGTTTTAATCGGATCAGCCAATCGTATTGATCCGATGCACGTTTCTTGTTTCTAACAATAAGACTACGCTTTACGTAGGCTAGCTAATTGCCAATGCCTTATGAATATGCAACAGCAACAGCAAAAAAGCCCCGTCAAAGCGGAAATCCTCCTCGGGGCGCACAGGTGACAACTTCTGTGCGGGCGAATGGAGGGGGCTGCTCACAGCTTGCGCGGCTCTGTTAAAGGTTCTGCTTGTCTTCAAAAAGTGACCCGGCATCGGGCGCCGTCTTGTGAATGAAAACGGTTTTGCTTGTCGCGCGGAGTGCTGAGTGCGCTGCAAAGCGACAGCGACGTGTCGCCATTTTGAATTTGTTGCTCAGCAGTGGGCGGCGTCAGAGAGTGAGAGAGCGAGAGAGCGCAGGCGCTCTCTGCATACATCAAACCGTACATGTGTGTGTGCTGTGCTGTGTCGTGCTGGGGGCGTGCATAGTACTACACATGAGTATTGGTGAGCATGCATGTATACATGTATGCATGTGTATGTTTGTGTATTGTATTTTAGTACCTGTGCCGTTTGAGCGACATCAAGTTGTGGGCCAGTTTGACTGGTTTGTTGCCTTTTGTTGTTGCTGTCGCCTGTCAAGTTGCTCAGTTTGGGCAAGTAGATGGCGCTAGTTGTCTTCAAGTGGCTTTAATATTAAAGTAGAGCCCTAAGAACTTGAGTAATTCGAACTATTCTGCTGCTTCAACAGAGCCACAAAATAATATAAAAATTAAAACACATTTATTTATATTATTTTCCAACACTGAGAAAAAATAGTTTTTGTACATTTACCCCTTTTAATTATATAAACAAATGCTTTCTGATCATTTTATTCATCTAAATGCAACTGTTGATTGCGTGCCGCAGACACATAACGAAATAAAACCAAAATTACAGGTTTAACAATCAATTTAATAATTGAAACCTTTGCATTTAATCAACATTATTTAAAATGTCAAAATATTTGCACTTTCAATGGCAGCGAGCGTCACCGTCGCCGTCGCTGTCGTCGTCCAAAAACCGTAAAACCCAAAGAATGCCAGCTCGAAAAAAATACAAAATTTGCATACAAATATAAATGTTGATAATGTTGTAAATCCCCCAAAGAGGGCCGTTGCTGCTGCTGCTGCTGCTAGCCACGCCTCAAGTGGGTGGCTGGAAGGGGGCGCCATAAAACTAGACGACTGCCAACTACAAAGTTGATACAAAATAAAAAGAAAAAAAAAAGAAAAGAGAACACAGAAACACAACCGCACAATCCGCTGGGGGCGCCCCTCGTCTGCGCCGTCTCCATTGATAAAATTTATGGTATTGGTGCGGTTTCAACACCAACCGCTGCCGCGACAGCTCACACCGATGCACACACACACGCCGAGCGGCGACAGCGACGCGACGTCAAACCGGTTGTCTGCCCTGCCATTGGTGTGGTTAGCTAGCGCTGGCAAACAACCGTTGCCATCTTGCTCGCACTTATGGCATGCGCAGCCGTTGCGCTCGCACGCGACAGCGACAGCGCCGCAAAGCGACATCTGCCGGCTTAACGACAGCGCAGTCGGGCAGCGCGCAATCGCAGCGCTGAGCTCGTACCTAGTCGTATACGCACTTTGTTCGTGGTTGGTTCGTTGTTGCTGTCGCTCGTCGCAGCGCCGTTCGCCCGGTTCGTTTCGAGCTCTCGATTCACACGATTTTACGTTTTACGCTAGATTCCAAAACGCTGCAACGTTAGAGATTCTCTCTACTGGGATTCTTAATAATAAATATATATATATATATATTTACATACATATATATGCACATATATCGCGCTATCGTTCGCGTTGCCGTCGCGCAAATTGCCAATTGCAAATTGAAAAAATAAAAATTACATAGATTGTTGTTCAGTGTGTCGCTCTTTTGGCTTGGAGTGTGTGCATTTTATTCCTGAATGCCAATTAAATGCGCGCAGCAACAAAAAGCAAAAGAAAAGAAAAGATAAATAAATAAAATAAATAAAAGGCATTCAAATACAAATTGTTACAAGTGGTATCAACAACAACAGCAGCAGCAACAGCAGCAATAGCAACAGCAACATCATCAATAACAACAACAACTACATCATTATTATTAAAAGGGTGACCCAAATTTGCGAGTGCAACAATTCTTGAGTGCAAAAAATATATAAAATTAGAGAGGGCAAGAGAGAGATAAATACAAAGCTGATCGAAAAAGTGTTTACGCTACAAATGCTGTTAAGGATTTACGCGCTTAACTCAACTAACTAACTAACTAATATAAACTTGTTTAATGTGCAATTAAAACTAAAGTACACACACACACACACACTTCTCACATACACACCCACACGCATACGCTCTCCCACCCACACATAGAGACAGCTGCAATTTGTTGTCTTTAGCATTTTGGTTTTTTTTTGCGGGCGCGCGTGTCAGAAAGTAAAGCCGCCAAAATTCTTGATAAAGTGGCCTCAATAGGCGCCAACACGCTCAATTTTACGGACTTAGGGAGCCCCTACGAGGGGCCTCCCAGCACCCCACAATCGGGCATGGATGCACCAGATGCACCGCACACGCCCAAGTACATGGACGGCGGTAGCACAGCAGCCGTTAGCGCCAGCATCACACCTGGCGTTAATATACCTGGCAAATCAGCATTTGTGGAGCTGCAACAGCATGCCGCCGCCGGGTAAGTACAGCATGCCACAACATCCACCTGTCTAAGCAGCTTTTCATTGTTTTGCCTATCGAACGGCAGAAATGTCAAAAGTGCTTAGCTGAAGGACAAATGCAACTGACTGACTGATTAACTGACGGACAACTGACTGACTGATTGACTGACTGACAACTGTCTGCCCCTCCCCCTTTGCACTAAGTTCAGCTCTGCAGCTTTCTGATTTGCCTTTTCGTTATCAGCTCCACGTCATCAGCTCTTTATATAACACACCCAAAACACAGGGTCTAAGACATTAACTAGGGCGTTACCCCAGATCTTTATAAGACTTTAATTTGGTTCAATTGTATTGATTGCTGTGGTTAGCTCCAGTTTCTTTGATAATATGCTAAATAATAAAGCTCAGCTAGACATGATCGTAGATAAAGTTGCCAAAGCAACTGTACCTAAAATATGGAATAGAATTTTTTTAAAAAACTTAGAAACATATATATTTAGAGTAATCTAAAATGAATTTTACCAAAATTGATTTAAATACAATTTTTTGATTTTATTTTTTAATATAAAAAATCAAAACTGTTTGAAATTTATAATTTGATTTTAAATGCATTCAAATTTATAAATGTTTTTTTATTTTTATATTAACTAAATACTATTTTAAATAAAATTTTATACAATAAATAAAAAAATATAAAATAATATAATAGTTAAATAGCATAGAGCTATAAATTATTGAAACAAATTTTTTTGTGTATGATTTTTTCAATTCAGTTTCAATTATCCATGTATTTATAAAATATTTTATTTTAGCTAAAATTTCAAGTTATTAAAATTTAAAATTTATTTTTCAAATTATTTACTTATTATTTTATTGTAATCTTTATATAAGTCTTAGACAATTTCTTAAAGTTTTTGTTTATAGTTTATTGGAAATTCAAATTATTTCAAAGACTCTTCAAAACAGCCAAAGCAAATTTGAATCAAATCAAATTCTCATTAGATCAAGAATATATACAGCATTTAAATATATAAAATTAAATCTGAAAATAAAAATAATTTGCAATACTTTAGAAAATATTTGAATTGCTATAAGCCTGCACAAATAAATTGTATAAAATAAAAATTAGTCGAGGTCAAAGGAGAATTTACTTAGCTCTAGTTCCGACTAATCAAAAGCAAAAACAAGTTTCTTCATATAATTTTTATAAAATCTCTATGCAATGCCATTGAAATTGAGCTCATATAAATGAATTTTAAATATAATATGAAAATTTATCCCTTGTCAACTAATATCCAATCCAATATCCATAATTTATATGTTCGCAACGTTTTCCGACAGCTTCCAATCTGTAAACACCATTTGAATTATCATATTAAATACATATATATATATGTTTTAAATTTATGGATTCTACTTAAATAAGTTATCTATATTAATATATGCCTAATGATATGGGCAGATATCAAGTCAAACATGGACAGCTGTCACTGCATTTGCCTTTATCTGAATTCAAATCTTTTTTGTATACCTTTTTTTACCGCGGGCTACGAAGTACCAAAGTTGTAGCTCAATATCAGATTGCAGTAAAAACATATAGCTACGATATACTTAAGCATGTCACATGTATGCTTTTATCAGTTTATGAAAGCATTAGGGATATATAAATATATATATATATATATATATATATATATATATATATATATATATGAATATCTCTAGGCATATCGCCCCTGCAATCAATTGAAGTGTTCTCTCTTTTTTGTTTCTTGATTAAAGAAGTGACTTGTTGTAGCTATTATAAAAATGTATATATAGAATGTATACCCTTAGCTTTCTGTTGCATCGGTGCTATGTTTTCAGTTCTTTATGCTGGTGTTGCCCGTCCGGCATAGCTTTTTGGACTCCCTTTTACAAAAGCCCAGCGGCAATGAGCGGAAGCCAAAAATAAATTCAATTAAGTGCAGTTTAGCAAACGACGGACTTTAACTTGTATATAGACTGTACTATATATGGGTAAAAACTTTACCGAGGGTAAATATTATTTATGCCAGTTGCGAGGGCTTCTCGCTCTATGCATACTACGTGCTGTTCAAATTGTTTTTGCAACGCACGATTCGATTTTTCATTATACATATTTCATTGCATTTTTGCGGTTTTGCGTTTTGTGGTTTGTCATATATATTTTTTTTTTTTTGTTTTCCATTTCTTGTGGTGCGTGTGCAACTCCAAAGTGGTTCGTTGGCTGCCATATTGCCGGAGTTCGAGCTGCGGTTTCACTTTGTCCGTTGCCAGTTGCCAGTTGGCAGTTGTCAGTCAGTTGCATTTCGTGTTGTTGTTTCCGTTTCCGTGTTGCCTTTTGGCCCGCTTTGTATTGAATATTTCATGGCTTATTATTGGGCAATCGCTTAGAAATTGTGTCCCAGAAGAAGTTGAAAGCCAAACTCCCTGGGAAACTGTTCAACTGTTCGACAGGGAAACTTTAAGTCTATTCAAAAAGTGTTAACAAAATATTTACTACTACTATTGATTTTTCTCGCACTTTAACTGAATGAAGTCGGGGCAAAAGTATTCGACATTAAATCCAATTTTTGTGCTTTTTTTGGGTTTTTGTTGTCAGAAATAAAGTTTCGCTTTGACGCTTTGTGCATTAAACATGATAGTTTGGCCGTTGAGGTTTATATATTTGCGGGGCGCTGGAATTTAATCGTCGTTGTGCAGCACTGAAAAGTGTACACAAAACACGCAAACTATAGTTGTTGTTACTGTTGTTCTTTTTACATTCATTTGTTGTTCTTTGACCTGAACTGGCGTGCCAAAAGGCCAACAATGAATACGATATGAGGCAGAACTTTTAGCCTCTGCGCCGAATTGATTTCATTTGATATACATATATATATATTTACTATATTTATAATTTTGTCTCTGTATTTACAGTTACGGAGGCATACGCAGCACGTATCAGCATTTCGGTCCACAGGGCGGCCAGGATTCGGGCTTTCCGAGTCCACGCAGCGCTTTAGGCTATCCATTCCCGCCCATGCATCAGAATTCCTACTCTGGCTATCATTTAGGCAGCTATGCACCGCCCTGCGCCAGTCCTCCCAAGGATGGTAAGTACCACCACCAGCTCTCAACTAACATATATATCTCATTCAGTTCGTATATACAGCTGTTATTCGTAGCGCACATCACTTAAGTTTGCGTCTGCTATTGTTGTCTGAAGAGTTGTTCAGTTGGTCAGGCATTGCCTTTGGCCTCTGCTCAAGATCCAACTCAATTCAAGCTCTTTAAATTCGCACTTTTTCGCGACACTTGAACACGAGTGGACAACGCTCTTTCAAGCGTCATCTACACAGACTTGACTTTGACATTTCCACAGTGAATGAAAAAGATGAGCAAAACTTTTATTAAGATATAAGATTGTAGAAGCTAAACAAATGAATTTTTCAATACATCAACGTCTATTTAGAAATAAACATTCAAATTAACAATTCTTAAACATTTTCTTAGTTTTTTTCACACCATGCGCAAAGTCGTTTATTTTTTCGTTTTTTTTTTTAATTTCAAATTTCCATAACAAAAACTTTATTATGACAAAACTGGCGACACTTAATTTCATAGCCTATTAGCTTAAACTACTTTGAAAGTTCTCACTTGCATAGCTTTTTTATAGGGCCATAATATGGTTTTTATATAGATCATTAATTATTCAATGAACCGGTTCAAAGACGCAATTTCAATTTATGTTAGTTTGCTGCTGTCAAAACATAATTGAAATAATATTCACTTGGCTGAGAATGCAAACATTTTTGAGCAAAAACTTAGGCATGAGATATTTAAGAACTAACTAGAATTTGAGCTACCTGAGTAAAGGTTTTTGACGTCTTTGCATTGGAACCTGCAAGCAGCAGTCTCTTAATTTTGTGATACTCAAAGCCAAAGTTGAACTTAAGACCTAGTTAGGCTCCTATTTTTGCCAGCATGGAAATTAAAAGGACTTTAACTGTAATCGAAAGACTTTAACAGCTTAATTCATTTTCTTTAAAAGACTTTTTCAGTTTTTTCAAACATTTTTTTTTCACTCAGATATTGGATGTTGCCTAACCTTCAAGTTCAGAGTGTGTTTTGTATAGAAACATATATTTGGCAAGTAATATAGAAATATATAATAAATATGAAAATATCTAAAAAATATTTGAAAAAAATTTAAAAAATTTATAAAATCAAATAACTAAATTTTTATGAAAATATTTATATGTATATATATGTAAAAGAATCATGTATGAAGTACAGTTTGCTCACTCTAAAAATCCGTAAAGTTGAAGCCCAAATCGAAGCAATTTTTCGCAGTTGTTTTTTTTGTTTTAAAAATATTTTGACAGCACGAAAAATTTAAAAAAATGTATATATCAAACATAATAAATATAAAATTCTAGATATTTGCTTATTTTTAAACACAAACTTTAAAGTCCCTCACATGCTGCAGTCGACTACAACTATTTTTGGTTTTTTATTTCATATATAAATTTTAATTTCGATATTCATTGTGGCTGGCATAATTGCGCGCTTGACTGTGACATTTTGTTAACTATCGCATTTTGTTAAACAATTTTGTTGCTGTTGCTGTTATTTTTTTTTATTTTTGCTGGCTTTTTATGCGTTTTGGTTGAGCAGTTTTGTACGTAAGTGAAAAGCAATTCATTTTGCCAGCTATTGTTGCCGCTAACACAGAGCCAAAGCTATATAAGTGTAGTCATAAATGTGTGTGAGTGTGTATGTATAGATAGTTATATATGTTAAGTAACGCAGCTTGACATTTTGTCACACATTTATCACACATACGCCGCATTGGCTGGGACGGCTGAAACGGCTGGGCGTGGGCAGCTTTGCAATTAACCTTGACTCTTCCGTCTATAAAATTCGTTTATTGAGCTAACAAAAACAGCTGTTAGCCAAAAATTTTGCGCGCCAAAATGTCTTTAAATACAAATGCCTAAAATTAAATGGCCCACTGGCACACACACACGCACACACATACGTTTATATGTAATTATAATTGCGGTAATTACGCTTTCGTTTGGCGTAATTAATTACACCATTCTTTGGTGTAGCTGCCCAGGCCAGCGACATGTGCAGCAGCAGCAGCAGCAGCTCATACACACACGCACGCACACTCACACACACACTTGGGACCTGGTGTCAGTCTGACTAATGGCTTATGTGCTGGGTGGTCAAATATAAGTTAAGGCAATTGCCATCTCGCTCGCACGCAGCCATTTTGTCATTAAAGCGACAGCACGTGCTGCGGCGCCAATATTTTCGACACACACACACATACACACACACGTACACTCAGGTAAGGGTAACGGTTGCCATATATGGGCGCTTAATAATAGTTGGCTGGATTCGCACACACATACACACTCGCAATTAGCTACGTCATGAGCTGCAAGTTGAGTGCTTTGAACTTTTGCTTTTTGTTTATGCCGTAATTGTTAATTAAAGTTAATTGCAAAGCCGTTTACAAGTTACTTAGCGTTCGATTTGGCAGCCCAAATAGCGACGCGCTGCTCGCTTTTGCTCTTTCGCTCTATTTGGAGTTGCTCTGTCATGCATTCCGAAGCGCAGCTCATGAATATTTATTTAGCCTGAGTTATGTCCGCAGTTCACAATCGCAGTGCTTTGCCATAATTCTTATGGCTCATTATAAATTCATCATTGAGGCCCATTTATGTCTGCAGTTCCCTCTTTTTCTGGCGCTCTAAAATATATATACATATATATATATATATACACATTCTTTTTGCAGACTTTTCAATCTCAGACAAATGCGAGGACTCCGGCCTACGCGTCAATGGCAAGGGCAAGAAAATGCGCAAGCCACGCACCATTTACAGTTCACTGCAGCTCCAGCAACTGAATCGACGTTTCCAACGCACCCAATATCTGGCTCTGCCCGAACGTGCCGAGCTGGCCGCGAGTTTGGGCCTCACGCAAACGCAGGTGAGTTCCATAAATATATATATAAAATACTTTGTATAAATATAGATTTATTTGTGGTGCACATAAATAAAGAGAATTTGTCATTTGAGCTAAAAAGATAATGGAGTGAGAGATCGAAGAACATTTGATTGTCATTTATATTTGTAATATCTATAATATAGTCTGTATGGGTTTCACTGTATGCAGGTTGCTGCAGTCTATATACTCTCTATACGTTATTCATACTCTATACTGTTTATGCTCTCTACTCTTCATAATCCATATTCTCTATATACTCTATATACTCTGTATACTCTATATACTCTATATACTCTATATACTCTATATACTCTATATACTCTATATACTCTATATACTCTATATACTCTGTATACTCTATATACTCTATATACTCTATATACTCTATATACTCTATATACTCTATATACTCTATATACTCTATATACTCTATATACTCTATATACTCTATATACTCTATATACTCTATATACTCTATATACTCTATATACTCTATATACTCTATATACTCTATATACTCTATATACTCTATATACTCTATATACTCCATATACTCTATATACTCTATATACTCTATATACTCTATATACTCTATATACTCTATATACTCTATATACTCTATATACTCTATATACTCTATATACTCCATATACTCTATATACTCCATATACTCTATATACTCTATATACTCTATATACTCTATATACTCTATATACTCTATATACTCTATATACTCTATATACTCTATATACTCTATATACTCTATATACTCTATATACTCTATATACTCTATATACTCTATATACTCTATATACTCTATATACTCTATATACTCTATATACTCTATATACTCTATATACTCTATATACTCTATATACTCCATATACTCCATATACTCTATTTACTCTATATACTCTATATACTCTATATACTCTATATACACTATATACTCTATATACTCTATATACACTATATACTCTGTAGATAATCTATTCTCTCTATACTCTATATACTCTATCTACTCTCTACTCTATTTTCTCTTTACTCTCTTCTCTCTACTCCACCCTCTGTATTGTTACCTCCTCTTCTATACCCTACCTTCTATATCCTATACTTCCTCAAGCTTTCAGTTCTAATGCTAACTATTTAATAACTTAAAAGCTCTACGCTACACACTGCAAAAAAGCCAACTTTCATTCGATATGCAAGGGCATATAGGGCATATGCTTTACTCTTAGCACAGCAAGTCTATTCCCTAGGTATATAAAATTCTGCCCCTGGGCGAAAAAGCCAGAAAACAAAACTGCAGCAGCAGCAGCGGCAGCTAAATGCATTTCAAATTGAATTGTTGACATGCCGCTAATGTTGACTGACAAACGAGCCAAGCCAAGCAGCAACCAAGTTGCAAACAGCAACAACAACAACTAGCTAGACATATGCTAACGCCCACGCCTGTGACATATATATATATATATATATATATATAGTATAAAGGTATATAGCTAGAGAGATACATGTATACATAGCTACAAGCCGGCAGACAAGCTCTAACGACTGTGTTTAATATCATAATGTATGCGAGTTCCAGCTCTTGTTGCTGTTGCATTTTGCACGTGTGTCAATGTCAACTTTTGTATGACGACTCAGCTAAAAGCAACAACAATAACAACAACAACAACAACAACAACAATGAGTATCTTTCGAATGCACGCGCTGCTGCCCACGACAAAGAGAGAGAAAGACACAAACGTAAAAAAAAATAAAAAAATTATAATTGTTAGGGAAAAATATATATATATATAATAAAACGAGGCCTGCCTGCCATTGTGGCTGCTTTGGCGACACCCACCCAGTTTTTTCAGTTCAAGTTCCAGACTCGTAGTGCCCGAACGTCTCATTGTATTTTTTTTTTGCTTTCGCTACAATAGTTTTCCACATGGAGAGCAAAAGCAAATAAAATAGTTGCAAAAAAAAAGAAACAGTAAAGTAAAGTAAAGGAAAAACAAAAGTTGATGTGAATGAGTCTCGTTTTTGAGAAATTTATTGATAGTGGGCGTGGGCTTCCTAATTGAATTAGTGTGCCACAAAAGTTCACGCACACACAGAGACAAAGGGGCACAGTGCAAGGCAGCTCAAATGAAACTTGTAAAACAAGTTGAAGACCCTGCTCGGGCTGTGTGTGTTGCGTGGGTGTTGCTTGGCCGCAAGTTGTTTATCAAGATAGCTATTTGAATACACGGCTGCGTTGTGCTGCCATGCCACAGAAACAGACGCGGGCACAGCTCAGTCTCGGCGTCTCTTGCCTCTGAGGCGGGGCGTGCCACACGGCGGCTGTGTAATAAATTTGTGGCAGGCCAAAAGCCGTTTACTTAGTCACCCCATAAACGCTGATTTACAAGAGGGCAAAGCACCCAGCGCCACGCCAGCGTCATCGTCCTAGAGAACCAGGCTCCATAAAATGTGGCAGCAACAACAGCAACAGCAGCCCGAGCCAGCTGGCAGCTGTCAATCGATGTCCGCATTGTCAGCGCATGCAGTTTTCCACTCTTTTGCGCTAGCTAACTAAATAAACAGCCACGCCCACTGTACCACAGGCTGCACTGCCCACGGGCGACACAATCAATTTGCTTTATCTGCTCTGACCCTGCAATAAATACCAAAGGTAGGGTTAAGCACAAAATTTAATTTATGACTGCAGCGAAGGGTGTTTTTTTCTTGTTTTTGGCTAACTGTTTTTCTTCAGACTGCCAGTAGCTGCAGTCACTTCTGACCAGGTCCTGTCTGTCCATTCGGACTTTCGCTTTCGTGGCCCAGCGCGTGTTAATTAAAACCGCCCTCAAAGTTAACTTCGGCAGCCGCAACGGAAGTTTTTTATTGATTTGCTAGCTAACATCTACGGCTATATAGCTACAGCTATAGCTAAATTGTAAACGTTGTGGTTGTTGTTGTTGTTGTTGTTGTTGTTGGCCACGCCAATGTTTGAGCCGTGCAAACAAACCATTGTGCTTTGCCTTAAGATTTATGCGTTACACAAACAACAACTGCATTGGCCACTCGAGCGCCAGCGCCAGGGCCAGCCCCAACCCCAGCTCCAGCAAACGTGGCTTAATGGCCTTCAGCGGGCAGCGTCGGACAGCCTGGTAAAGCTAAAGCTTTAAGAGCTTTCCCAATTTTTAGCTAAGGTTAGGATACATTGGTCATGACTTGGGTAACGTTTATAGAGTAAGAAGTTGAAGTTCAGTCATAGCTAAATTGAAGCCACGTTTTTTTTTTGGCTAAGCTAACTATTAGAACTTGGCAACTAGTAGAGCTGTGCTAATGAAACTGGCTACAGCGATTACTTTAAGCTGCCTTTAAGACATATGTCGGAACAAGGCTGATTGTGCTAATATATCATATGCCTGCCATGGATATCCTAGGAAAAAATGGGATTTTTTTGCTGAGAAATCTATTTGACTAAACTAGTTATATGATCTGTGCTTTAGATATAGCTTTAGATAAAGTTAAGATATTTTTCATAAATTTAATATATATCATAGAAGATTTTGTTTAAGTTTTACTTAAGAAAAATTAAGATATTTAAGTCAAATTCAGCTAAATGTTCTTTGCCTAAGATCATTTTAGTTTCTTAGCTATATTATAGTATTATTAACAAGATATATTTATATATATATATATATATATATATTATATATATATGTACATATATAAATGCATTCAAGGTGCTCAACTAAGCTTTAGTATTAAGGCTTAAGCTATTGTGCTTTAGATCTGAATCTAGTATTTGATATATATATATATATATATATATATACATATAGCTTGCTCAGCTATACTAGAGTATTAAAACTTCATTCGTTTTCAATTGCTTATTTCCCTTGTTTTTTTTCTATCGTTTTTTGGGGCGTTTTATGCAACTTTGTTGTTGTTCTTAAAGTTTTGCATGTTGAATGCATTTTTGCATTTTACAAAATGCTGGCAGGCAATGCTGCTGCTGTTGTTGTTGTTATATTTTTGTAGCTGAGAGCTCTCGACTCACGGCTGACACTGACAGCTCGTCGCTGTCGCAGCCGTTGTCGTTGTTGTCCGGCCTCAATCTGGCGACACGTTCTAACACCTGCTAATGAAAAATGCAACAGCAATGGTCTATGGCTATATAGATATGGCTATAAAACTATCCGATAATATACTTTGCTCAAAACTGTGGCACATTTTGCTTGGCTATTTGTTTTTGCCGCGTTTGGTATTTTTTTATAGCCGCTGGTTTTTTATATATATAAAATTTTTAGTGCTGGCTGCAAAATATAATTATGGTAATTTCATTATTATTTTTTGCGTCTTCTGCTGCCGCTGCTGCTGCTGCTGCAGAGAGTATATGAAACGAGTTTCTACTGCTGGCCGTCAGCTGGCTGCCCCTCGACCTCCTCGACCTCCCTCTAGTTGAATCTCTCACTTAGCTTTAAGTACGCGCACTTGTAGTTTGATTTTGAAAGTGCATCCGGTGACTGTTTCGCCAGATCAATGTGTACTAAATATAGTTATAAATACTGCACACAAATATATGTATGTATGTCTCGCCGTCTGTCGCTTTCGCTTTGATTCAGTTTCAATTAGAGCTAAATGCTGGCTACTGTTTTCCTTCTTGTTGTTGTTTTATTTTTCGGCTTACACCGCCTGCCGCCTAATTGAATAATTACATAGAACGCAGGCAGCTGATCGCCAAAGCTTCAATATCAAAACACCAAAAAACTCCCAAAAACATAAAAAAAACGCACATAAAAACTCAAGCACCAAAAACTCAAACTCGAAGCTGACAGCGCGAGACAAACGCAAACACTCTAAAACAACACACACACATGTGCATACATATAAATATATTATATATGTGTATATATAATATAAATCAGAAAAAGCCGAAATTAAACAGCGCTGCTGTCCGTGCGAACCGCTCAACGAGCTGATCTGAAAAGCGAAAAGCGAAC